ATTTGGGGGTTTTTGGGTGGATTTTTGGGTTTTTTGTTGGGGTGATTTTTGCTGTTTTTTGCACTCACAGGCAGGCACACCCTCCGGGGATTATTTTTTAATTATTTTTGGGGTTATTTTGGGGTGATTTTTGGGTTTTTTTGGGGTTTTTTTGTCACTCACAGGCAGGCAGACCCTCCGGGGATTATTTTTTAATTATTTTTGAGGTTATTTTGGGGTGATTTTTGGGTTTTTTTGGGTTTTTTTGTCACTCACAGGCAGGCAGACCCTCCGGGGATTATTTTTTAATTATTTTTGAGGTTATTTTGGGGTGATTTTTGGGTTTTTTTGGGTTTTTTTGTCACTCACAGGCAGGCAGACCCTCCGGGCCGATCTCTGCATCCTCTCCACGTTCAGCTCGGGCCGGAAAAGCCGAATTTTGTCGTCGTCGCCCCGGAAAGCCTTGAGGCCCTCGAAGAGCTGCGGGGAGAATTCGGGGATTTTGGGGAGATTTGGGTGATTTTGGGGATTTTGGGGATTTTTGGGGATTTTGGGGGACTTTTGGGGATTCTGGGGTGATTTTTGTGGATTTTTGGGGGATTTTTAGGGCATTTTGGGGCTGTTTTTAGGCTGGTTTTGGGGTGATTTTTGGGCTGGTTTTGGGGTGATTCTGGGGTGATTTTGGGTTGATTTTGGGGGTGATTTTTTGGCTGGTTTTGGGCTAGTTTTGGGCAGATTTTTGGGCTGGGTTTGGAATTATTTTGGGATGATTTTTTGGTAATTTTGGGCTGGTTTGGGGATGATTTTTGGGCTGTTTTTGGGACTGGTTTTGGGGTGATTTTTTGGGTGATTTTGGGCCGTTTTAGGGGTGGTTTTGGGGCTATTTTTGGGCAGATTTTTGGGCTGTCTTTGTGATGTTTTTGAGGTGATTTTTGGGGTGATTTCGGCCATTTTTGGGTCTGTTTCCCCCTCTCCTCACCTCCACGGCGTAGTGCAGGGCGCTGGAGTGATTCTGGGGTGATTTTTGAGGTGATTTTTGGGCCGTTTTGGGGTGATTTTTGCAGTGATTTTCGCAGTGGTTTTTTGGGGTGTTTTGGGGCCGTTTTTGGGGTGATTTTACCCATTTTTGGGGTATTTTCAGCCCCCTGCTCACCTCCACGGCGTAGTGCAGGGCGCTGGAGTGATTCTGGGGTGATTTTTGAGGTGATTTTTGGGCCGTTTTTGGGCCGTTTTTGCAGTGATGTTCGCAGTGATTTTGGGGGTGCTTTGGAGCCATTTTTGGGGTGATTTTACCCATTTTTGGGGGATTTTCAGCCCCCTGCTCACCTCCACGGCGTAGTGCAGGGCGCTGGAGGCCGGGTGCAGCCGCAGCTCCTGGAAGGGGCTGATTTGGGCTGATTTGGGCTGATTTTGGGGCTGTTTTTGTTCTGTTTTTGCGGTGATTTTTGCAGTGATTTTTGGGGTAATTTCAGCCATTTTTGGGGTATTTTCAGCCCCTCTCCTCACCTCCACGGCGCAGTGCAGGGCGCTGGAGTGATTCTGGGGTGATTCTGAGGTGATTTTTGGGCCGTTTTCGGGTGATTTTTGCAGTGATGTTCGCAGTGATTTTGGGGGTGCTTTGGAGCCGTTTTTGGGGTGATTTTACCCATTTTTGGGGTGTTTCCAGCCCTCTCCTCACCTCCACGGCGCAGTGCAGGGCGCTGGAGTGATTCTGGGGTGATTTTTGAGGTGATTTTTGGGCCGTTTTTGGGCCGTTTTTGCAGTGATGTTCGCAGTGATTTTGGGGGTGCTTTGGAGCCATTTTTGGGGTGATTTTACCCATTTTTGGGTCTGTTTCCCCCTCTCCTCACCTCCACGGCGTAGTGCAGGGCGCTGGAGTGATTCTGGGGTGATTTTTGAGGTGATTTTTGGGCCGTTTTGGGGTGATTTTTGCAGTGATTTTCGCAGTGGTTTTTTGGGGTGTTTTGGGGCCATTTTTGGGGTGATTTTACCCATTTTTGGGGTATTTTCAGCCCCCTGCTCACCTCCACGGCGTAGTGCAGGGCGCTGGAGGCCGGGTGCAGCCGCAGCTCCTGGAAAGGGCTGATTTTTGGGCTGGTTTGGGCCGATTTTGGGGCTGTTTTTGTTCTGTTTTTGCGGTGATTTTTGCAGTGATTTTTGGGGTAATTTCAGCCATTTTTGGGGTATTTTCAGCCCCTCTCCTCACCTCCACGGCGCAGTGCAGGGCGCTGGAGTGATTCTGGGGTGATTCTGAGGTGATTTTTGGGCCGTTTTCGGGTGATTTTTGCAGTGATGTTCGCAGTGATTTTGGGGGTGCTTTGGAGCCGTTTTTGGGGTGATTTTACCCATTTTTGGGGTGTTTCCAGCCCTCTCCTCACCTCCACGGCGCAGTGCAGGGCGCTGGAGTGATTCTGGGGTGATTTTTGAGGTGATTTTTGAGGTGATTTTTGGGCCGTTTTTGGGCCGTTTTTGCAGTGATGTTCGCAGTGATTTTGGGGGTGCTTTGGAGCCATTTTTGGGGTGATTTTACCCATTTTTGGGTCTGTTTCCCCCTCTCCTCACCTCCACGGCGTAGTGCAGGGCGCTGGAGGCCGGGTGCAGCCGCAGCTCCTGGAAGGGGCGGATGTGGGGCCGCCCCCAGCCCCGCTCCCGCTCCCACTCCACCGTCAGCATGTGGTCGGTGAAAACCTTCCCGAACACCAAGTCCTGGGGGGCCGGGGGCGTCCCGGGGGTCCCCGAGCGCTGCAGCTCCAGCTCCGAGGCCTGGCGGGCAGTTTGGGGGGTTTGGGGTCAGTTTGGGGG